AGAAAGTTATTTCTTCTAGTTCTGGACGTTTTCAAAACTATCCCTATAATAATTAAATAATTAAATAATTTTTTTATTTATCTTTCGTTCTGAATTTTGTAAATATTTCATCTTTGAGGAAGTTATTTCTTCTAGTTCTGGACGTTTTCAAAACCATCTCTATAATAATTAAATAATTAAATAAATTTTTTATTTTTCTTTCGTTCTGAATTTTGCAGATATTTCACCTTTGAGAAAGTTATTTCTTCTAGTTCTGGACGTTTTCAAAACTATCCCTATAATAATTAAATAATTAAATAATTTTTTTATTTATCTTTCGTTCTGAATTTTGTAAATATTTCATCTTTGAGGAAGTTATTTCTTCTAGTTCTGGACGTTTTCAAAACTATCCCTATAATAATTAAATAATCAAATAATTTTTTAATTTATCTTTCGTTCTGAATTTTGTAAATATTTCATCTTTGAGGAAGTTATTTCTTCTAGTTCTGGACGTTTTCAAAACTATCCCTATAATAATTAAATAATCAAATAATTTTTTAATTTATCTTTCGTTCTGAATTTTGTAAATATTTCATCTTTGAGAAAGTTATTTCTTCTAGTCCTGGATGCCTTCAAAACCATCCTCATAATAATTAAATAGTTCAATAATTATTTATTTATTTTTCGTATTGAATTTTGTTTCATCTCTGAAAAAGTTATTAGTACACGAAGATTGAAAAGTGTCTTGACACTGCTTCTTCTAATCTTGGACGCTTCCAAAACCATCCCCATAATAATTAAATAATTTTTTATTCATCTTTCAATGATTTTTCGTTACAACTTTTCAATGAAATATTTGGCTCTTTTGATATATGTCTCTTGCTTTTACTTTCACTTATTGTAGAACACACTGGTACAAACGACGTTTGAACAATAAAATTCAGGTCATCCTCTGTACAGTAGTTCATCAAATTACTTGTAATTTTTGTCTCAGGTGAAATACACATTTATTATTCTCTACTGATACTATATTAAACTATAAACGAAGAATAATATACACACATATACAAGAAAAATAATTGCAAAATTATTCTGCACTCGTGATGCAGTCGTGTTGAACTAACTTCCCACGTGGAACGCAATAGTAGTATTGCAAAATGTAACCAGGCCTCCCCACCCCCAAAATAAAACCAGCCACCCATGGGGAGAGGTTACCCCGCTGTTCCAAATGTTACAGAAGGGTGTACGGTTATAGCTGTATTATCCCCTTTTTCGCTACTGGCATTCATCCGTGAGTCATCGGTTCGTACTCACCCTCTCCGGGTGTGTGACGTCACTTGGACAACCACCACCCCATCGAGAATCCAACATCGGAAGCATGTCATCGTTGGGTTATTATGCAAGGGAGGCCGGGAATCGTCAACCATCCTCTCGAGGATTCTTTCACGACTGTAGGAAGCCACTGTACTCGATAATCTCCTTCTCCAACCGAATATCGACGAATTTCGGCCAATAGAGGCGAGGATTGGCACGAGAGTGGGTGGATCAGATGGAAGAAAGGAAAATCAGTGATATTGAGAAAGTATAGAAAAGGCGAAAATTCACGTCTTGGTTTTCGACGATTTTAGAATGAATCAATTTTGTTATATGTAGGTTTAAGAAGATTTTAAGCTATAATTTTACCACTATATGTTATTGTGATTTACATCCAACTTCTAAGAATATTAGGGCACTTACAGAAAATGAAATAGATTTGGGAAATCATTAGGAAATTGTTGCAATTTCTTAAATTTATTTCAAAGTTGGTTATATTAAGCTTGGAGAGGTATATATAGTTTACAGTATAATATTTTATATATTATATATAACATTATATTATATTATATATAATATATTATAATATTATATATAGTAATAATAACATTAATTTTGCACAAGAAAGTTATATTTTCTTTTCGTCGACATATCCACCGCGTTTAATATTATATATATTATATTATATATATAAAATATAATATTATATTTTTTATAATATAATATTATATATATTATATATAGTAATAATAATTTTAATTTTGCACAAGAAAGTTAAATTTTCTTTTCGTCGATATATCCATCACGTTTAATATTTTATATATATATATATATATATATATATATATATATATATATATATATATATAATATTATGATTTTTATAATATAATATTATAATATATATATTATATATATAGTAATAATAACATTAATTTTGCACAAGAAAGTTAAATTTTCTTTTCGTCGATATATCCACCGCTTTTAATATTACATATATTATATATATAATATATAATATTATGATTTTTAATATATAATATATAATATATAATATATAATATTATGATTTTTATAATATATTATAATATTATATATATTATATATAGTAATAATATTAATAATATGTAATTTTATATTAATAATATTTAATTTTATAATAATAATAGTAATAATATTTAATTTTGCACAAGAAAGTTATATCTTCTTTTCGTCGATATATCCTCCGCGTTTTTTAATTATTTGTCCGACTAATTTCGCCATCAGTTTTTTTTATTGTTTCTGGTACTATTTGCTTCCGTGCGTTTTGTAGTTTCGTTCCACAAGTCATTTTGAGACTTTGGACACACTTCACGGGTTTTCCGATCTAATTCATCCCAAAATCTTCTCTGTTGGGCTCAGAGATCGAGGGATCGAGGGTGCCAGTGCATTATTTTTGATTCATCACTCTGTTCTAAATGTTGCAAATAGTCTTTTCAAATCCTTGCAGTGTGCTTAGCATCGTACGTCGTGCATGAAAATGGAATTTTGGCCTGTTAATCGCCTGCCAGATGGTACGTTCACGTAAAATAGACAAATACTGTTCTTTCTTCAGAATCCCTTCGATTATTATTAAATCATCAACACTATTCGCTCCAATACATCCCCAAATCATTATTGACCGTCCTTCGTGTTCAACTGTGGATACGATACAGTCAGGAATCATTTTTTTCTTCAAGTCAGTCAAATTTAGATTCGTCGATCCACAAAACATTTTTTCACTCTTCAGCTGACCAATTTCGATATTTTTTTCTTTTTTTTAGCCCACTGTAGTCCTTCTCACTTTATTTTCTGGCCTTAGTAATTCCTTTTTTTATAGCTACGCATCCACGAAGACCAACCTTGTGCAAGCTTGTCTCCTTATTTATACTAGATACTGAATGAAGCTGGTGGCCTAATCATTCGCGAACCCATTGCAATTCTTCGGTAATCACTGGAAATTACTTTCAGTCATCAATTTACAACAACTAGTTGCTGACTGTGAGATATTAATTTTACACGCGGCGAAAATGGTTAAAATGGTTAGGCGCGCATCGAAGTAAATTCGTCGTATTCGGGATTGAATCCAGAGTGCTTCCGACAAAACCGATACTGCCGGGCCGAAGCGAGGGAAATAGATAAGTCTGGGGACAGACAGTACAGCAACGAGACTGGCTCGGTAATTCGAGAGATCGTTAAAATCGTTTCGCGTTTCTGTAGCGAACTCTGTCGACTTCCGTTTCCATCTCTTCTTTTTCTCTCTCTCTCTCTCTCTCTCTCTCTCTCTCTCTCTCTCTCTCTCTCTCTTTCTCTATAGCCATCGTTGAATGCTGCTGCACCGTTTAGTTATTGTCGAGCTCTGCTTTTCTTCTGTCTTGCGCGCTCATTCTCGTTGTCGATGGAAAGAGAGTGAATTACGACGAGGAGGATGGTGGAGGCTGGTCAATTGAGCTCGGATGGAAATCGTAGGGTTTTTCGTCGAATCCGAGTTTTAAAAAAATTTCCATCGAGTTAGTTCCCTTTCTCTTTTCGATCTTCGTCTTCCGAGATGGCATATTCTGCATTCCAGTAGCACGTTTTCAATTATCTGGGTCATAGCTATGTTCGATTATATATCACCTAGGTATAAGATTAAGATAAAAATAATGTGACCTGTGGTATAGCGGAGTGAAAAGTATTATTATATCGTTCTTCAAGCATTCCTCCATGCCTGCAGCTTAATATTGCTTTTTTAATAAATAGAAAAAAGAAAAAATGGAAAAAATGAAGTGATATTTTCCAATATTATTTCACTGAAACTTAAGAGTATTAATAGATTAATGAATTATAATAAATTAAAACGGTTATATATTAAACATAATATACTATAATGTAAAATAATTATAAAAAATTAATAAATAATGTTTTTAAAATATTTTTTAAAATTTCTACGTCGAAACAGAAAAGTATAGCTGAATAGACTTTCAAGTATAAAAAAAAATATAGTTAGAACTCGCAATTTTATTAATTCTCCTCTTTATCTCTATTTATAAATACTGCAATGAGAAACGAGAACAAATTCTGCCTAGAAAAGCTATAGATACACTCCGAAAATTGTTCTACTTCAAGAAGAGAGATTTCCACTTTCAGAAACCTCTTAGAGGCAATTTCCAACAGAGGATTTGAACGAACTTTAAATTTATGAAACTTTAGGCCCCTTTCAGACAATTTGTTTCGACAATACCTGCAAAAACTGCTGAAACACGGAGAAGCAAACCTTCTCCTCCGACCCGTCAAATATCTCGCGAGGAAAGGAAAAAAAGTCGGGAAGAAAAATAAGACAGTGAAGAAGCAGCGACACGCGTTTATGTGATGTCACGCGCAGAGTACGAGCCTCCCCATTGGGAATGCACGTCGCATTATCATTCAAGGCGGTTCACCTGGTTGGGGAATGAGAAATAATGCCGTCGACACGGTTCCTTTCAGTCACGGGTAAACACACCTTCCGTCCTTTTGCCTTCGCTTTCTTTTTTTCCTTTTTCTTTTCTTCCTCCGCCTCCATTCATTTGCATCTTTCGGCGAGATTAATAGACGAACCGACTTCGGTCGGACGTTGAATGCATCAGCGATTTAACGAGCCGCTGCCTCGATGATTCTTTCTTTTTTTTTTTTTCCTTGACTCAGTATTACCATTCGACGACGTACCGCAGACGTACACCGGATCCATACTGGTGGCTGTGAACCCGTACAAGGAGGTGGACTTCTACACGAACGTGAGTAAATTGCAATCGTTTCACCTAGCGGATCCTCTTCGTTGAACGTTGAAGAGAACGAATCTCTTCGACTCAGATCGAGATAAAGAAATAACAAGTTCGATGATAAAGTGATAATTCGAGATGTTTGCCGAGTGGTTGGGTGATTGGTCATTGAGATGATCGATGGAGACACATCGATCACACTTGTTCGTATTTTATAATAAATGACTCTTCACGAGGGTGAATCATTGTGAGATCTTTCGTACATGAGCGTATTAACTTCTTGCCTAAAATTGCAATATTTCCTCAGCTCTAAGTATATTCAAGTATATAACCCAGGCAAAAGAAATAATAAATTTATTACTTCTGTATAATAATTTCTATCCAGTGATGTCATACCGACGAGTTCGAAAAGAACGCGAGGAATTTACTGTGTACGGTTTGGTCACTCGTTATGGTCCGCAATCAGTTGCCAGCGCAAGTGGTTAAAGAAGCCTTAACCTCTTGCGCCATCGAAAATTTTCTTGTCGCCAAATTGCAATATTTTCTCAGCTCTAAGTATATTCAAGTATATAACCCAGACAAAACAAATAATAAATTTATTACTTCTGTATAATAATTTCTATCCAGTGATGTCATACCGACGAGTTCGAAAAGAACGCGAGGAATTTACTGTGTACGGTTTGGTCACTCGTTATGGTCCGCAATCAGTTGCCAGCGCAAGTGGTTAAAGAAGCCTTAACCTCTTGCGCCATCGAAAATTTTCTTGTCGCCAAATTGCAATATTTTCTCAGCTCTAAGTATATTCAAGTATATAACCCAGACAAAACAAATAATAAATTTATTACTTCTGTATAATAATTTCTATCCAGTGATGTCATACCGACGAGTTCGAAAAGAACGCGAGGAATTTACTGTGTACGGTTTGGTCACTCGTTATGGTCCGCAATCAATTGCCAGCGCAAGTGGTTAATTCTTAAAAACTATCGCTACAAAGAATCCTAACTATCTATCATTCGCTCCATCTACGGATGAAATTCCATTTATATATTTTCTTTTTGTCAATTTTAAACAGAGCTTTCGAATTTTTGGCGGTTAATTACAAAAGAGGAAGCGGAAAGAGAGAAAAGAAACAATCGCAATAATACCTATTATTTGCAACAGTGTTACAATTATATCAACTGCAAATTCTACACGAAATTATTTAAACTCTTGCGTTGGAATGACGTGCCACGCACGTCGAGAATTTTTTGTCCAAAAATTACAATATTTTCTCAGTTTTAAGTATATTTAAGTACAACCCGAGCAAAACAAATAATTAATTTATCACTCCAGTGATATCATCACCGACGAGTTCGAAAAGAAGAAGAAAGCGACAAATTGTTGTATACGGTTCGGTCACTCGTTATGGTTCGCAATCAGTTGCCGTATAATGGAAACGAAGAAGAAAAAGATTATCATTTGTGAAATGTTACTCGCACAATTCTTCGTTTCAAGAACGAGGAATTAAGAATTGCGTCAAGTTGATAACTCACGAAGATTTTTCAAATTCGCTCGTCACCGACGATCTAACGATTGGTTGATCATTCAGCTCCCAAGGAGTTTCTTTTTTCTTCACCGGGATGAAGGAGTTTCTTTTTCTGCACGGGAATTTAATGAAACATTCATGGAAATTCGTGACCAAGTTCTTAATCGTATACCAATTATGTATCGCTCCACGGAGAATGGGGGAGATGGACACGTACAGCCTTCTCTGTTCCTCGAGGCAGAGGACGCCGCCACGTGTTTAATATTTGCTATTCTTCGGCGGTACTTCCTGCCCACATTTGAACGCAGGAAGTGCGCAAGTAATTGCGCATTTCAGCAACAACGGGCGGTACAACGAACAACTGTTGTATCGATCGGTATTTAATTCCATCTCTCCTCCCTTACATTTTTCCTTTTTTTTTTTTTTTTTTTTTTTTACAAATATCCAACGACAAATATTTTCTTTAACGCTATGTTAAAGAATTATATTATTATTATTTAGCTTAATTATATTATTTTTTGGTATATATTTTATATTATTTAATTATGAATTAATTTTAGAATGAAATATTGTAAGATTAAATTCAATTCTTAATTATAAAGTGTAAAACTTTATTGTTTATTTTTTTAGTTATATCTATTTCTTCAATAATTTATATATATATATAGAATTAGATATATAAATTTAAATATATTTAAATTATAATTATAATTATTAATTATTATATTATAAATTATATATTATATATGTTATATAAATATTAATAGTTATTATATATAAATTTAAATAATTTTAAAACGTTTTTATTATTTAATAATATTGTTTTTATTATCAATAATTATTTTAATTTTAAGTCCTAATGTAATAACGATTAGAACTACCAACACGACTAAAGCATAGAACTTTGATCCGAGATGTTAAAGTGAAAAAAAAATAGAAATACAATACAATAGAATACACAAACATTTATTCGCGTGTTTTATAAAAAAAAAAAAGTCGTCCAAGCCTCTGAAAATACACCATTTCGCATCTAGTAGTACATCTGTAAAAAGAATTAGCGAACTAGTCATTCTGCGCTGGCAACCGATTGCGGACCATAACGAAAACCGAACCGCATCGTTTCATCGACAACAGCAACGAAGGAAATAAATAAATTCACGTTCGAAAAGTAACGCAGTGTCTACGCCGCGAGTGACAATTCTTTCATTACTGATTTTATTGTCGTTCGAAGAAGCTCGTTTAATTGCGACGGATCTAACGATGAAGGGAAGTTGATGATCTAGCGTGAGAGACGTACGTTACGTTCCAACAACGCGGCGACTTTTTTTTATCGAGCGTGGTTTCGTCGACACGCGAAACGGCCGTCGACAGGACGCCTTTATCGTATTGAAATTGCTAGGTCTCGCCTCGAAAACAGGAAACGGAAGCGGCGACGGGCCTTCGCGGAGATATCGCGGAACAACCGATCAACTCTCGAAGGGTTTTTCTAGGTCACGGAACTCCGCTCCGTTTTTTCGATAAATCGATGCGTAATCCATTTATTTTTCCAGCTGCGAAAACATCGAGCTTCTTCTCTCTTTTACACCTCTCTCTCTCTCTCTCTCTCTCTCTATCTCTATCTCTATCTCTGAGTGAATTATTGTCACTTAAAGCGGTCGCGTAACGCGGGAAACGTGTTTCACTTCGCGGCGGCGCGCGTATTTTTAAAAACGAGTTTAACAGCGGCGACAAAAGATTGATTGCAAGTGAAGAAGGAAGAAAATGAAACAGTGGATGATACATTGTATTCTCGATTGTTAAGAGTCAACCAAGGCAAACGGTCTTGATGATTTCATTACGCGTAAATTAAAATAAATAGTCATTGTTCTGGTTTCTTATTTCTTATCTCGTAATATGTTTATTTAGAGGAGCGAACTTGCATAATTTCTTCTGTTTCGTTCCGATTGAACTCGGACTGTGGACAATTTATAATATCGAGTCACGATCAGTTTCTATTTTCCTATTTTTTTATTAAATCTTTTTTTTTTTTTTTTTGATATATTTTTTTATATTGTTTTAATATATATATTTAGTATAAGTAAAATTTAGTACTTTTTCTTTTTTTGAAGAAATATTTGACAAATTCTCCTTTCGATTGATAAAATAACAAATTGAATGCCCTAGAAATGGTTAAAGCGACCTGTTTTAATTTTTTATAGAAATTTACGATTTTATTTACGAGATTTACAATTTCACCGCGCGTTTTTAGGAGATCTGAATGATATTTTACAAAATATATATACATTCCTCCGATATAAATATTTACAAATATGTATTCCATTTCTCTGTTGCAAATTTTATACTTCGATAGACTGTGGTTTTAGCGTTAAATTTGCTTAAGAATTCCCTCTATTTATACTCGCTCGTCGTTCTACAAACGACAATGTTGAAACAGTGAAACGAACATGTCAAATCACTTTTTATTTCGGTGATGCAGGAACAACTAAGCTCTCAAAATGATTCTCCATATCGACTCGCGTCATCTTCGAAGAGTATTTTTGGAAAAAGACAAATTACATATTCCTATCTAACCTGACAAACACGCTCTCTATATTTATACAGGGTGGGCCAAAAGTTTCTTCCCACTTCTCTTTTTTTTAACAAAACATCAGAATATAAGAATATAAAAATCTAATTTTATTAAATTAGAATAAAGAAGAATAAATAACAATTAATATAAGAATAAAAATCTAATTTTGAATTAAATTTAAGTTCAAACATAAACTTAGATTAGCGTACTTTAATCTGTAAAAAAGATTGAAGGAAATATAATATAATATATGATATAATAAATATAATAAATGTAATAAACATAATAAATAAAATATAATAAATGTAATAAATATAATAAATAAAATATAATGTAATAAGTATAATATAATAAAATATAATAAATATAATAAATATAATAAATAAAGTATAATATAATAAAATGTAATAAATATAATAAGCAAAGTATAATATAATAAAATGAAATAAATATAATAAATAAAGTATAATATAATAAAATATAATAAATGTAATAAATAAACTATAATAAATATAATAAATAAAGTATAGTAAAATATAATAAATGTAATAAATATAATATAATAAAATATAGTAAATGTAATAAATATAATATAATAAAATATAATATATCTAATAAATATAATAAAAAAAATTACGGATTCATTTTAGTAGTAGAAAGTGATTTTTGGCCTACCCAGTGACTTTTGGCCCACCCTGTACAATATACCCCAACGTATCCTCGATAATCGTACGTCGTTGCTTTCTCTCTCTCTCTCTCTCTCTCTCTTTCTCTCTCTTCTTCCCCTGATGTGTGCGCAGTTTTTAATCTCTATTTCGAGGCGCGCGAGCGTCGGGCTTGAAACCATCGGGCGGCGTTAACGCGCGTATCAGCCTGGTTTGAATTAGGGTGCGCAGACCGCGCGCGAGGACTTATTTCGGG